TAGAAATAAAAGAATACGCAGAGACAGAAGTACAGTTTTATAAAGCATAGATTTTATAAAAGTTGGGGATTGGGAGACCTCCAGCATTCCCGTGAGCTGTGAGGTTACGAGTGAAGTTTTACAACAGTATTTACTGGTACAGTGATCGGTTGCCAGGGGTAACAGATTTACATAATAACAGGTAGTTTGTTTTAGGTTAAAAGTCTCCCCCAAAGCTTCTAGAGATCCCTTAATTAATTCTATTTATGTGAGCAAACAGTTACAAAATCTTTCTAAGACAAACTTCTAAGTTCTAAGATAAAGCTATCACTTAGCAGAAAGGTTAAACAGAAATATAGTGGCTCTATATTTCTTTATCTAGTTTTTGTCAATTGAGACAGGTAATCAGGAATGAAGCAGGAATTATCCCTTAGGCTAATTGCTTTTAGCTGCAGGTGTCTGTCTGTTGGGTAGGCACTCTTTGATCAGTTCTCATCCTGTGGCTTCATGCATGCCAAGCTTTGTCGTACAAAACAGGCAAAAGCCAACAGGTTCGAGTCACGGCGTCACCTTGGAAAGCAGCTGCCACTGATCTGTGAGATGCCCCCCTGAGGCGAGGCAGTTTTTGATATGTGAACTAACACGTTCACATATTCCTTCAGGGCAAAGCCCTGAAAAACTCCTGAAATCATTTCTGTCTCTATATTATCGGAGACAATTCTATAGCACAACAGATTCCAACATATGAATTTTGCAGGGATGTAAACATTCAGCCTATAGCAGATAGATTACAATGTAGCACTAAAAAACAGAGTTGGCACCCTTCACAAAATTATAAATATATTTAGGAACCTGAAGAATGACTATCAATATAATTGGAAAAAATAAAATTTGGGGTCTTTCTTGGATAATCATGGATGTTTTATTCATTCTTTTGCCTTAAATTTATGTGGTTGAAAGTTCCTTACTGTCTTTTTAGTATTACATTTATTGCTTTGCTTTCCACAGACATGAAGCCATTATCATCTCAGGAACTGAAATGGCCAAACATATCCAGAAAGAAATACGGCGAGGTGTGGAGTCCTGGATTTCCCTGGGCAACAGAAGACCTCACCTTAGCATCATTTTAGTAGGAGATAACCCAGCCAGCCACACGTATGTCAGGAATAAGATAAGAGCTGCCTCTGCTGTAGGTGGGTATGTGTTTTAGTTGTAATTGTTACTCAATATGTTTTCTCTTTTTACTTTAAAGCATGATAATTATGACTGATAATTATCAAATAAGTGCCATTTAAATAATATGTATTACTGTTTTTAGAGATTATTCAATTATTAAAAGTTTATATTAATTTCTTACTATTTTTCTTCAGATTCCTTACACAGTCAATTCAGTGTGATTTCATATCCTATGGCAACACGTCAGAGGAATACTTTACATTTAAAAGGCCCATTTTCATTACATTTGTTTTAATCAAATAATAAACCTGGCAAACTTGGCTGAGTGGTGGTCGTTATAGTATTTTTACTCTCTTCAAATCTACTAATAATGCTTATTACAAATACATGCAAGTTGTCACGAGGGATACGGGGCCAAAGAGTACCTGTGAACCAAGAGAAAACACAAGTACTATGTGAGAAATCCCTCCCAATGATACATTGACCATTGTCTTTGTAGAAGGGCCTTTCCTTCCTGTAGGACCAATCCTACACTGTGTAAGACACTATTACTGAAAAACCATGTCTTATTTAGTCAAGCAGCTTTCTCTGCTTGTTTTTCTTCCAGGTATCTGTAGTGAGCTTATTCTAAAACCCAAGGATGTTTCT